TGGACACTCCCCTAGGGGACCAAATGGGAGACTTAAATGACAGACAGATATGGGGACATTCCAGACACACAGTCACAGTTTGTACCCACAATGCACTATGATTCCCTCCCCTCGGCCCTGGAGATAATTACCAAGTAACTCAATTATCTCCAGGACAAAGCCAGTCGCCATTTTAAATATAAAACCAGAAAAGACATAAAAATATATAACTTTACAATAACCGAACATTTCCCATTCGCATCACATATCCCCAGATAGCCTGGATCTGAGTGCACATTATTAGCGAATAGCGCTCAGATCCCACACACATAGTTCAATCGCCATGGAGTCAAAGTTCTTACAGTCTTTCGGTATACGAATGACTCCATGGGAAGGCTATCTGGGTTAAGTCCTTTCGTATGCTTCCAAAACTCCCGAACGGCCGCTATTCGTATGTTTTCGTGGAGGCAGCCAGGCGTTCCGTTGTTTCAGCGGTGTTCGGCAGAAAAAGTGTCCATTTTTAGTTCCATGAAAATAGAGCCGAACACCGCTGGGCTTTCGCGTGGTTTAAAATGGCCGCTGCCTCGTGGTCGACATACGAACGACGACCACCCTGAATTCGTGTAATTGAGAAGTGTCTGCGGTTAACCACAACGTTCTAATTGGGATCAATAGGTTAACCAGCAGCACACTTCTCTCCTGGGTGGCCATCCGTTCGGCAGGTTTGTTCAGGAAAAAAAAGTCATTCGTATGGCTGGGCTATAGAAAACAGCCATTCACACGAACAGGATAGAAACAGACGAATACACCTGAAATAAACAGACAGATGGTTCTGTCACAACAGTGACAGACACAAATAGACAAACACAGCTATATACAGAGCGATACATACAATCACAGATAGAAACAGAGACAGACAAAGATACAAAGAAATACAGTGATAGACATAGATAGAAACAGACACAGACAGACAGAGATATACAGTGACAGATAGACACACACCAATGGATACAGACAGATAGATACAGACACAGATAGAAACAGACACAGACAGACAGAGATATACAGTGACAGATAGACACACATCAATGGATACAGACAGATAGATACAGACAGAGAGAAACAGACACAGACAGACAGAGATATACAATGACAGATAGACACACATCAATGGATACAGACAGATAGATACAGACACAGATAGAAACAGACACAGACAGACAGAGATATACAGTGACAGATAAACACACACCAATGGATTCAGACAGACAGACAGATAGATACAAACATAGACAGACAGAGATATAAAGTGAGAGATAGACACACACCAATGGATACAGACAGATAGATACAGACACTGATAGAAACTGAGACAGACAGGGATCCTGAGAAATACAGTGACAGATATAGATAGAAACAAATACATACAGAAACAAACACTGATACAAACAGACAGACATAGATACACAGAAAGACAGACAGAGACACTGAAACTGAGATTTGTAACAAGCATTTGAATTTCAGGTTATATAAATATGGTATAAATATCTTCAGTCCCAGCATGCAGATTTTTCTGTTTTGCTCCCGTTTCTTTCCTTTTTCACGCTTTCATTAAGAGAATGTCATCAATTCTCTTTAGTTGTCATTTTTACTGAACCATGAAATGGCCAAGTCTCTTGAGAGCAATAAAGCAGCATGAATTTCTGTCATTATTCCCTCATTCTCGTGATGTGTAACAGAGAGATTAGGGGCAAGTGGAAAACACTGGAGGGTTTCTTCAGCCTGTGTTTTAGTGGGAGATGACATTAGAGTAATGTGAGTAAAGAGATTTGTATCATGGCTTAGAGCATGGATTCCCACAGATGAAGGTATAGTTGACCACATCGAGGCCCACGGCTGCTATCTCCTGCCACACTGCTGCTATGGCTGATCTTTCTTTCCTCGTGGGTGTCTGTAAAAGCAGAGTGTACCTTCTGTGATAGAGCTGTGCACAATAGCCTCATTCAAAGAAAAATGTACGCAGAATCTGCTGCGGAACGACCGTGGCACGAACCACTAAAGCACAGTACGTGCGGGGAAGGAAGTAAATAGCAGCAGCCATAGATCATCATTTTTTTCCTATCCTCTATTCATGGATAGTGATGTCGCGAACCCGAAATTTTCGGTTCGCGAACGGCGAACACGAACTTCCGCAAATGTTCGCGAACCGGCGAACCGCCCGAAACGCCATTGACTTCAATGGGGAGGCGAATTTTAAAACACACAGGGACTCTTTCTGGCCACAATAGGGATGGAAAAGTTGTTTCAAGGGGACTAACACCTGGACTGTGGCATGCCGGAGGGGGATCCATGGCAAAACTCCCATGGAAAATTACACAGTTGATACAGAGTCTGGTTTTAATCCATAAAGGGCAGAAATCACCTAACATTCCTAAATCACAATCAATATGGATTGACACCTGACATATGACATATTGACACCTTGACATATGGATTGACACCTGTCCTCAGAGCCCCTGATGCACACGGACACAGAGCAGAATAGAGACTGGTCCCCCTACATAGGGTCACTTGGCAGATATGGATTGACACCTGTCCTAAGGATCCCTGATACACACTGACACAGAGCAGAATAGGGACTGTTCCCCCTACATCGGGTCACTTGGCAGATATGGATTGACACCTGTCCTAAGGTTCCCTGATAGACACTGACACAGAGCAGAATAGGGACTGGTCCCCCTACATCGGGTCACTTGGCAGATATGGATTGACACCTTGTTACAAACTGCTATTTGTAACGGGCCCTTTAAATGGCAAATTGCCCTGCTTCCCTGGGTTGTGGAGAAGCCTATTTGCCAGCCTCCTCCCGCATGACTATGGCCCCTGGGAGATTGTGAAAATGTATGCACTTTTATTTGGTGTGTATGGCCCTTTAAGACTGTCGGTGGGCATATTGGGGCTTATGGACTCTTTATGTGACTGGTGCTGGCCCTTTAAACACCTTTTTTGGGACATCAGGAAGATTGGGACACTGCCCCTTTAAGGCCGTGTCCCCAGACTTGTTGGGGACACGCCCCTTTAAGACGGTGTCCCCTGTGTCCCCAGACCTGATGCAAACCCTTTGTGCCTGCCTGGCTATTTCCCACTTGGTTCAGTAAATGGGAAATTATTTCAGCTGCAGAGACTGTAGCCCCATGTAGCCAAAGCGCAGCTAAGCGAAAAAAGGCCTTGACAGGGGTTAGGAGGCGGGCATAGGAGGAGGGAAGGAAGTAGGGAGTTATGGGTAAGTAGGCTTGGCTATTTAAATAGGCAGCCATTTTAAAGCCTTCACTTTTAATTACTACCTTGCTGAGTTTGTGTGCACTCCTGTGTCCACAGATTTGGTTTGGTGGGGTCTTTGTTTTTCTCTCCTTCTGCAGGGTCGAAGGATAACATGGAGGAGCTGTTGGAGCGGATCCGGTTGGCGGCTCAAGGACGTGGCGTGGACTGGCTGCGGGCGCAACTTGGACCAGCCCTGGCGGGTGCTGCGGATCATGAGGGCGGCGGAGGTCGGCCTGTGCGGGCTCGGAGGCCGCCGAGACGGCTGAGCCCAGGCGCGGAGTCCGGTGGAGACGGTTCCAGCGGCCGGGCGGCGGCGGGACCAGGCCGAAACGGACCCGGTAGCCGCATGGTTGAGGCTCCGCCTCCCGGCGCGTTACCGGGACGTCGGAGAAGCGGTAGCCGGCGGGAGGCTACCCGGGAGTCGGACGGTGCAGCTCCCAGTGCGGGGAGGGCTGCGCCTGGAGCGGGGGCCGCGGGAGACATCGGGCGGCCCCCTGGAACCGGTGAGGACGCGGGATTGCAGCCCGGGAGGGCATCTACTACACCCATGGCGGGGACTGGCGGGGCCGGTGCGGAAGGAGCTCGCGGACCGCCCCTGGAACAGGCAAGTGCAGGGGGTTCCGGCCGGGACCCCCTTGGCGCGAATCAGCGCAGGAGGACTGGGCACAGGGTTCAGAGACCTGGGGGGGACGTGGAGAGGGGTCAGGTGCCTTCTAGAGCGGGGGCAGGGAGGTCTAGGGGGGAGGGTGCGCAGGGTAGTTCCAGGGTAGTGAGCTTGGAGCGAGGGCCAGTAGCCGGGAGGGTGGAAGGGCCAGGGGGTACGGCAGGGGGAAGTTTGCCATCAGGGGGGGGCAGGAGGTCGAGGTGCGCAGGGCGTTCAGGACAGGTTAGGGGTGCGGGGTCTGGGGACCGGCTGGAGGTACCGAGGGGAGGGGGTGCTTCTAGTCGGGGGGCCCGCCAGGGTGGGGGGTGGGGATTTCCCTGCGCTGGTGAGCAGATAGGTGGGCGTAGTTCTGGGGGGGGTTCAGGTTTGGGGTCAGGTGATAGCAGCCCGTCACCGGTTAGGGCCCGGGGGTCCGGGGGGTTTAAGGGAAGGGCTCGGCGTGTTAGGTCCTCATCTAGTAGCTCAGGGGGGGAGAGTGTCATGGCCCCCAGGCTGGTCACACGGGGGCGGGCCTCTGGTAGAAACGGGAGGAGTCGTAGTCCCAGAGGCAGGGCCGATCGGGCCTTGGGTGGGCGAAAAGGAGTGGTTGCGCGACGGGAGGCTCTGGTGTCCAGCGGGCGCTCTCAAGGTCGGGACGGGGGGGCTGCTCATGACCAGTATGCTCTGCCCAGGACTTCTTCTCCTCGTTACAGATCTCGGAGCCGCTCCGCATCTGATGTGGCCGGGCACCGGGTTGGCTCCCCGGTTGGAGGATCGTTAACGGATGTCGCTCATCCTGGTCAGGGGACAGTACACAACGCAGCCCCAGGAGCTTCGGGGTCGAGGGGCTTGGCCGGTGAGTCCTCTGCTTCTCTGCACTCCAGTGCATTGGTTCACACACTTCAAGCACTTCTCCACTCACTGGGAGCGGGGGGTGCCACAAAGGGCGGTGTGGGGCAGGTTGGGGCTCAGGGGGCCGGGGTGGCGGGCCCGAGCGAGGTTCCCTCCGCGGAACAGAGTTCGGGTGGGGACACTGCAGTGACGGTTACTGGGGCGGAGGCGACGAGCGAGCGGGCTGAGTTGACGGGGGGGGTGGTTCCTGATGCGGCCAGGCAACACGCATATGTGTCGTTTGCGGGTCCGCTGGGGGTCCACCTCAAACAGGAGGTGAAGGAAAAAATCTGGAAGGGTGACTTCTGCGAGATCTTTTCTCTTCTCCCTTTGGAGGATTTTATTGATCTCAAAGAAGACGATAAAAAAGATGAGAAGAAGGAGGAGGAAGAGAAGAAGAAGCGGTATCGTAAGATTCCCAAGTCTTTCGGTAACTGGCTGAGGGCCTTTTGCGTGTTGGCCAGTGTTCTGGGCGAGAAATCGCCGGGCCTGTGCTCCTCCCTGTTTTGTTATTTGGATGGCATTTGGGAGGCGTATCGCACCTATGGCGGACTGGCATGGTGGCGGTACGACGAGCAATTCCGGCAGCGTTTGGCGGCTAATCCGGGTATGCGGTGGGATCAAATGGACCTGCCTCTCTGGATGAAGCTGATGATGGCGCAAAAAGCGCAGCCATTTCAGCCCACGGCCGGCGCAAAGGGGCAGTCCGCCTCGTCGGCCGCCATGCAAAAGGGCTTCTGCTGGCTCTTTAACGAGGGCCAGTGCAAATGGGGAAACGCCTGTCGCTTTAAGCACGAGTGTTCGGGCTGCGGAGGCGCGCATGGGCTCAACCGGTGCTTCAAAAAAGGGAAGTCGGGGCACACCGGGGTCCCCACCTCGGCTGGGGGGGGAGAGGGAGTTTCGCTTGCCCCGGGGCCTAACCCCGGTGAGGCTAGACGCGATGGAGCCGTGGCTAAGCCGCTACGGTAATAAGGCAGATGCCGTAGCGCTCCGGGCGGGGTTTGGTCAGGGGTTCTTTATCCCTTTCCGGAACCGGGGGGGGACTGGGGTTCGGCGCAACCTTAAATCGGTGGCTGAGTTCCCGGGTGTGGTGCGGGAAAAACTGGGCAAGGAAGTCAAATTGGGGAGGATGGCAGGGCCGTTCCCGGCTCCTCCATTGGAGGGTCTGCGGGTTTCCCCGCTCGGGGTGGTTCCCAAGAAGGAACCGGGCAAATTCAGGCTCATTCACCACCTCTCCTACCCGGAAGGAGAGTCGGTGAATGATGATATTGACAAGGACTTGTGCTCGGTCTCATACGCATCATTCGACAGGGCGGTCGAGCTGGTAAGGAAGGCCGGGCGCGGAGCACTGTTGGCTAAGGTGGATATTGAAGCAGCGTTTCGGCTGCTTCCGGTCCACCCAGCGTGTCATCACTTGCTGGGGTGTTTCTTCGACGGGGGGTACTTTGTGGATTTGTGCCTTCCAATGGGTTGTGCTATCTCCTGCGCCTACTTTGAGAAGTTTAGTACTTTTCTTGAATGGGTGGTCAAAGTTGAGGCGGGGAGTGGGGCTGTGGTACACTACCTGGACGATTTTCTCTGCGTAGGACCGGCGGGCTCCCCCGCCTGCCTACACTTGCTGAGAACGGTCGAGTGGGTGGCTGGCCATTTCGGGGTCCCGCTGGCGGCGGACAAGACAGAAGGGCCGGCTCAGTGCCTTAGTTTTCTGGGGTTGGAGATAGATACGTTGCAAGGGGAGTGTCGGCTGCCGCTGGAGAAGTTGCGGCGGCTGAAGGAGGAGGTGACGACGGCGGCTCAAGCCCGTAAGGTTACATTGCGGCAGCTGCAGTCGTTGATCGGGATGCTGAATTTTGCATGCCGGGTGATCCCAATGGGTAGGGTGTTCAGCCGGAGCCTGTCGGCAGCGACGGCAGGGGTGCGATCCCCGCGTCACTTCATTCGGGTGTCGTCGGCCATGAGGGCCGACTTGGCGTATGGGAGACCTTTTTGCGGGAGTTCAATGGGACGGTGATTTTTAGACAGGAGGGCGTGTCGGCTGCGGAACTGGAGCTGTTCACAGACGCGTCTGGTAGCGTGGGCTTCGGGGCTTATTTTGGGGGACGTTGGTGTGCGGAGCGATGGCCGAGGGAGTGGCGACTGAGCCCCCTCATGCGGAACTTGGCTTTCTTGGAGCTGTTCCCGCTGGTCGTTGCGTTGGCCCTGTGGGGGGATAGGCTGCGGGACCGGAAGGTGGTCTTTTTCTCGGACAATATGGCCGTGGTGCACGCTGTGAATAACCAATCAGCGGCATCGAAACCCGTGGTTAGGTTGCTACGTCATTTTGTTCTGTTGTGCATGTCGCTAAATGTTGTTTTTCGTGCACGCCATGTGCCTGGGTTCATGAATGATGTAGCTGACGCCCTGTCTCGTTTTCAGTGGTCACGATTCCGGACGGTGGCGCCGGAAGCCCAAGAAGTGGGGCAGGCTTGCCCAGACGAGATTTGGCGGCTCGGGGCGACCTGCTTGGGGGACTGGTGAAGGCTTCGCTGGCGCCGGCCACATGGGCCGCTTACAGTAAGGTCTGGGACTCCTGGGAAAGGTCATGGGAAGGGTTGGACCGCCTGCCGGCGGGGGAATCGCTCAAGGATGCGTTCCTCTGGTACACCTGTCAATTTCTGGCGAAGGGGGCATCCCCGGCGGTGGTTGACAGGTCCATGGCGGCGATGGCTTTCTGGTTCAAGCTACATGGGGAAGAGGACCTTACTAAGGCCTTTGTCATAAGGCAGGCACTGAAGGGGTACCGGCGGGGCCGCAGTCGGCCTGACACTCGGCGCCCAGTATCGGTGCGAGTGTTGAGTGACCTGGTCGGTTTATTGCCTACTATATGTTTCGACAGGTTCGAAGCATCGTTGTTTCAGGCGGCGTTTCTGTTGGCCTTCTTTGGAGCCTTTCGGGTAGGGGAGTTGGTCAGTGCCACGAGGACTGCGGCAGGGGGGTACAGGTGTCGGGGGTCCGAGTGCTGGAAGGGAAGGTGGTTGTACACCTGGCAAAATCCAAGACGGACATGTTAGGCAAGGGCCGAGATGTGACGCTGCGGGCCCTGCCGGGCTCCGCTTTGTGCCCAGTGGCCGCAGTGGCGGGGTACATGGCACGGAGGCCGGGGGTTGGAGGATCGCTGCTGGTACACGCGGACGGGTCTTCCCTCTCCCGGTTCCAGTTCACCAAGGTTTTTCGGTCTGGACTGGGAAAGCTAGGACTGAGGGTGGATACTTTTGGTACACACTCCTTTCGTATTGGGGCGGCTACGGAGGCAGCTCGGTTGGGTCTGGGGGATGATATAGTGAAACGGATTGGGAGATGGGAGTCGGTACGGTTCCGTTCATATGTGCGTTTGGGTTTATTGGAGTAAGATGGGGAAGGGCCTTTGGGGGGATCCCCGGGGGCTGGGTGCATAAGGGGCTGTTATGATCTGTTTTCCTTCTCTCCCCCAGGCCGCGTCGCATGGATCGTGGGCCATTCATTTGTCTTCTGGGCCGAAAGGAGGGCTGCAGCTCGAGCTCAGGGCCACCAGCTGGGCTTTCATCGGGACCAGTTGGCAGTACAGTGGTTCGGGTACAGGGGTTTTTGTTGGGGGGAGGTCTGCGAAAGGGTGTTCCGGATGGTAGCAGGCGGGCAACGGCCGGACCTGCTGGTGCTCCATGCGGGGGGCAACGACTTGGGCCTCACTCCGCAGCGGCGGCTAGTGAAGTGGATGAAGCAGGACCTTAACGGTTTAAGGGACCTACTTCCGGGGGTGATGTTGGTCTGGTCGGAGATTATCCCTAGGAAGCGGTGGCGGCATGCTAGGGACCCGGAGGCTATTGACAGATGTAGGAAGAAAGTGAATAGCTTGATGGCAAGCTTCGTGCGGAAGCTAGGGGGTGTGGTAGTTCGACACAGCGAGTTGGAAGGTGGTTTGCCGGGGTACTACCGCTCGGATGGAGTTCATCTCTCGGCAGTTGGTTGGGATCTGTTGACCCTGGGCTGGCAGGAGGGCATAACTAAGGCTCTTTTTCTTCGGGGTGGCGGAGCTCAGACAGCTTAAGGAGTCAAGGTCTGAGCTTGTGGCGGGATAGGGAGCTGAAGGAGAAGAAATAGGCTCCCTAGGATGAACGTCATGGAGACGTAAAACTGTGGTCATTGGTGGTTGGTAGGTTCCGAGTCCTGTCGGTGGCTCAGAATCTGGTGGGGCAGGGGTATCCGGGTATACCCCTGCCATGGTTAATTTATGTTTGGCACTTTAAGTTGGTATGTTGGAATATGTTGATACGTATGTTATATGTTATATGTATATGTATATATGTTATTTATATGGGGGTCATTGCCTGTTATATTAACAGAAGGATTCGGTTACGAGGGCGGAGTATGGGGCAATGACCCATGTTTATTGTTAAAATTATTATTGCTTAATAAATTATTATTATTCAAGATTGGTTAAATAAAGCTGTGGACAAATTTTCCCATATACCTTGTGTCAGTGAGTTATTGGGTTGGGTATGTGGGAGGGTTGTCCTGGAGTCCGACTGCCCATATGGCGACTATACACCGGTCATGTAGCCCCATGTAGCCAAAGCGCAGCTAAGCGAAAAAAGGCCTTGACAGGGGTTAGGAGGCGGCATAGGAGGAGGGAAGGAAGTAGGGAGTTATGGGTAAGTAGGCTTGGCTATTTAAATAGGCAGCCATTTTAAAGCCTTCACTTTTAATTACTACCTTGCTGAGTTTGTCCCGCCCACCCTCCCTGAATTTGGTTCGGACTTGGGTTATCCCGTTTTTTCACAGCGGCGGGATAGGGAGCTGAAGGAGAAGAAATAGGCTCCCTAGGATGAACGTCATGGAGACGTAAAACTGTGGTCATTGGTGGTTGGTAGGTTCCGAGTCCTGTCGGTGGCTCAGAATCTGGTGGGGCAGGGGTATCCGGGTATACCCCTGCCATGGTTAATTTATGTTTGGCACTTTAAGTTGGTATGTTGGAATATGTTGATACGTATGTTATATGTATATGTATATATGTTATTTATATGGGGGTCATTGCCTGTTATATTAACAGAAGGATTCGGTTACGAGGGCGGAGTATGGGGGCAATGACCCATGTTTATTGTTAAAATTATTATTGCTTAATAAATTATTATTATTCAAGATTGGTTAAATAAAGCTGTGGACAAATTTTCCCATATACCTTTGTGTCAGTGAGTTATTGGGTTGGGTATGTGGGAGGGTTGTCCTGGAGTCCGACTGCCCATATGGCGACTATACACCGGTCATGTAGCCCCATGTAGCCAAAGCGCAGCTAAGCGAAAAAAGGCCTTGACAGGGGTTAGGAGGCGGGCATAGGAGGAGGGAAGGAAGTAGGGAGTTATGGGTAAGTAGGCTTGGCTATT